CTCTCCCCTCCCCCCTCTCTCTCTCTCTCTCTCTCTCTCTCTCTCTCTCTCTCTCTCTCTCTCTCTCTCTCTCTCTCTCTCTCTCTCTCTTACCAAGACTTCACAGGATGGTACAGCACCACCACAACAGAGGTTTTGTTGAAGCTCAAACTCAAAAGAAAGATCAGATTTCGAGGCATCTGTTCCACCTCAGTCAAATGAAAGGTTTTGAACTATCTCCCTCCAGCTCATGATCAGGGCTCAGTCTGACTCTTCTGCACGTCACTCACTTGGCTTTCCTGAATTTTGAAATGCCTTTTTATCTCCTCCTCCTCCTCCTCCTCCTCCTCCTCCTCCTCCTCCTCCTCTCCACCTGCCAGAAAACCTGAAAGGCTGCTGTCCCCTCATCCCTTGCATTTTCCATTGCTGCATCGCTCTTTTCAAATTCTAGAGTCGGTTTTTGTAAATTGTAGACACGAGGCATCATCAGGCTGCCTGGTCTTGTCCGTAGCTTATCTAGTAAGACAAATCCAATTAAACTCTTTAGAAAAATGAGTGGTGAAGCCTGGCATTTTCGATCCCTTCTTGGGCTTTTTCTTGGCCGCTTGCAAGGGCCACTCTCTCTGCCTCAATATATCAGCTTTATGGGCAGGTTATTAGACCCAGCCGTGCTTGATACTCACTCCCTTGAGAGGATGTACTAGTAGCGACAGGAACCATTAAAATGCCCTGATTTACTACGCTGCAGACCGTAACCTGTGATGTTCAATTCTCATGCCAATCCCAGGTGAGTCTATAGGTATTACCCACCTACAGGTAGTCCTCAACTTGCAACAGTTTGTTTCAAGATCGTTCGAAATTACAGCGGCATGGAAAAAGTGACTTATGATGGTTTTCTCCACTTACGACCCTTGCAGTATCCCCATAGTCACATGATCGAAATTTAGACACTTAGCAATCAGCATGTATGTATGACACTTGCAATATCCCCGGGTCAACAACTTCTGAAGGCAAGCTATCCCATTGGTTGATTGGTCTCAACCAATTGGGAAATTTCTCCTTAGTTCTGGGTTGCTTCTCTCCTTGGTTAGTTTCCATCCGTTGCTTCTTGTCATCCAAAGCACCAAAAGGCAAGACAAGAAACAATGGTTGGAAACGAACCAAGGAGAGAAACAACCTAGAGTTAAGGAGAAATTTCCTAATGGTGAGAGCAATCAACCAATAGAACAACTTGCTTTCAGAAATTAAGGGGGCTTCATCACCGGAGGCATTCAAAAAAAGAGACTGGCCAATCATTTGTCTGAAATGGTACAACAGGGGGTTGGACTAGAAGACCTCCAAGGTCCCTTCCAACTCTATTATTCTATGTTCTAAGTGTATACCCACTTCACGGTCTGTTTCTCTTGCTCCCCTCTGGGAGGAGGTTTCAAAGTACTTATAGCAGAACTACAAATTCTGTAATAGTTTTGTTCCTTATGCCATCCGTCTTGTAAATTTGCAGGATTCTTTTTTTTCACCATGTATATGTATACACTCGAAATAGACTGTGATGTTTCTCTGTGTTATAACTGTGTGTGTATGTGGGTATATGCATAATGATATTTTTTGAGAGCTGAATGCAACGAAATTTCATTTTAATGTATGCTGATTAGTGTACATTTAAAGCAGGTGTATCAAACTCAATTTCATTGAGGGCTGCATCAGGGTGCGGCCTACTGAGTGGGCGTGGATGGAGTGGGTGTGGCCTACTGGGTGGGCACGGCCAGCTCTACATCGTTCACGTCAAGGGTGCCTGTGGGGGCTTGGGCAGGAGTGGGACAGATCTGAGGGTCTCTGGCAGAAGGAGGTGGGACCGGGGCAAGCGCCAAGGCATGGTCCATTTCTTCATTCCTCACAAAGGATAACACCTCCCCAGCATGCACCCAGGGGGCGGGGGCGACACAGCAGGGGCTGGTTCCTCACTGTTTCCAGACAGCCTTGTGGAGCTAAGACTGAATGTGTTTCAGCATAGATGGCCACCACAAAATTGTACATTGGCTCCTGGCTGGCCTGGTCCAGGGCCAAGGCAGAGGGGGCCGTTCTCTCACTGTTTCCAGGATGGCTTCGCAGGCCACATGAAACCACTTTGCAGGCTGCATCCAGCCCCCCCGGGCCTTGTGTTTGACATGTCTGATTTAAAGTGTCAATAAAGTTTCTGTTCTATTCTATTCTATTCTATTCTATTCTATTCTATTCTATTCTATTCTATTCTATTCTATTCTATTTATTCTATATTTTCTATTGTATTCTATTCTATTCTATTCTATTCTATTCTATTCTATTCTATTCTATTCTATTCTATTCTATTCCATGATCTCCTTTTGCAACCTTCTGACAAGCAAGGTCAATGGGGAAGCCAGAATTAACACTTAACAACTGTGTTACTAACTTAACAACTGCAGTAATTCACTTAACAACTGTGGCCAGAAAGGTCATAAAATGGGCCAAAATTCACCTAACAACTGTCTCGCTTAGCAACGGAAATTTCTCGCTTAGCAACGGGCTCCGTTGTGGTCATACGTCGAGGGCTACCTGTACTCTCGGCTTTCAGAGTGGTCTTGTGATCTTTTCTAGCCTCTCCCGGTGCTTTTTTCCTGCTGAAAATGTCACGGCAGAGCGGAGCGTGTTACGTTTAGAACCAGAAAATATATCTAAACCCCGAGGTGTCGCAAGGGTCAGTTTCAGCAGCTGGAAAAGGGAGCTGGGAGGATCGCCAAGAAAACGGACCAGGACGCAAAGCTAGAAAAAATAAATTGGAAGAAGGAGGAGGCAAAGAGGTCCTTGGGCCAAGAGGCAAACATCAGCAAGGAAGCCGGCTCAGAAGGTGAAGGTAGAAGCCCCGTTGCCTTATTTCCAGCAGAGAGAGGGCAAAAGGCGGCTGAAAGGGCAGGCAGATGGAACCAGACCGTCTTTGTATCACCTGCTGCCTTCGTGCGTCAAACGCTCTACCCTCATCCTGCTTCCTAAGAAATCTTCCACAGAAGACCTGTATGTTTTGCACTGAGAAGATATCTGGAGACCCTCACATCCTCTACATAACCTGCTTCGACTCCTCGTCTCTGGATGGCGCAACGCAGGGCATTGCAGGCCAAAACAACTTAGATACAGGCATAGGTACTTCCCTTGCACCATCGCTCTGCTGAGTATCTAATTCTTGAAGATCTGTATAACATCTCTCTATATCAGTGGTTCTCAACCTTTTTAATGCCGCGACCCCAACCGGTCATAAGTTGAGGACTAAACCGGTCGTAAGTCGAGGACTACCCAACTGGTCGTAAGTCGAGGACTTTCCCTGCCCGGGAGCGCCGCGCATGTGTGGTTCCGCCCCCTGCGCCGCCCCCTGCGCATGTGTGGTTCCGCCCCCTGCGCGCATGTGTGGTTCCGCCCCCTGCGCCGGCCGCGCATGTGTGGTTCCGCCCCCTGCGCCGCCCCCTGCGCCGGCGTAGCTGGCAAGTGGCAGAGACGGAGCAGGCCGACCACCAGCTGGCCCCGTCCAAGGGAGGTAAGGCACCCGCCGGAAAAGGGGGAAAAATGGACAAAAAAAATGGTGGACAGCCTTGCTTGGCAACCCCCGTGAAATGGTCGATCGACCCCAAATGGGGTCCCGACCCACAGGTTGAGAACCACTGCTCTATATTATTTGCCCATGGAGTATGGCTATAGTATTATCACTTATCCTTCTTCGTATCTTCTTTATTTTCCTCCTCCTATTGGTGTTATTATGTTGGTTATTATTATTCGCTCTGTT